ACTGGCCGTGTGAAGTTTGCATTTCCACATACTAGTGAGGCTGAGTGCCAAGAAAGGATCTGCCTCTCAGGAAGGAAAAGGAGGGAGAGCCCTCTTCTTGCCTGGACAGTGGCTGGGGATGGGGGAAGTGAAAGTGTCCGCCTGCATAAATAGGCAGCACACCAGCCCTAGCCCATACACGGACCCCCAACTTGGAGCTGTCTGCCTCAGCCAAGCTCTACTGCGGCCATGGCTCAGTCACTGGTTCTGAGCGTCCTTGTCCTGGTCCTGGCCTTCTGCATACTCCAGATCCAAGGTATTAAGGAGGGAGTTGCCTAGAATGGGAGCAAGGGGCTGGAGAGGCCTGAGTGGGAGCCTATAAGCAGCCCCTCGCTCCCGGTGAATCCACTTGCAGGCAGTGATGGAGGAGCACAGGACTGCTGCCTCAAGTACAGCCAAAAGAAGATTCCCAACAAAATTGTCCTCGGCTACCGGAAGCAGGAACCAAGCCTGGGTTGCCCCATCCCGGCTATCCTGTAAGTGGGTGCAAGGGGGCGGGTACAGGCTGGCACCTGAGTGGGGAGGGCATGGTGGGCAAGACTAGGACAGGCTTGCTAACCCCCGAACCACAGGTTCTTGCCTCGGAAGAGCTCTCAGCCGGAGCTATGTGCAGACCCTAAGGAGGCCTGGGTGCAGCAGCTGATGAAGCGTCTGGACAAGTCACCAGCCCGCCAGGGCAGCAAGGACAAGAGGGCCTCCAAGTCTGACAAGAAGGGAAAGGGCTCCAAAGGCTCTAAGAGGTGAGGAAGCTGAAGGGACAGGGGGAGAGAAGTGAAAGGGAGCCTTGATCATCCCCTCAAAGCCCTCTTCTGCCCTCCCAGGACGAAGAACCCAAAGGGGTTATAGCCCAGTGACCAGCCTGGAGCCCAGGAGGCCCCCACCAGTCTCACCAGGGCTTGGAGCCCCAACCCAAGGGACAAGAAGTGGGCCAGGAGAGAGGGAGGACTCGGGGGCCCCGGAGCAGCCACCCCATGCTGACCTTGTCCAGCTTCTCACCCCTTCTCCAATTTCAACCAGCCCTTCTGTACTCCTACCCTCCCCTACATGGCTGAGATGCCCACACCAGGCCAGGCCTAGAGAAGCAGAGAAGGGAATGTCCTCCAGGAAGTGTGAGGGGCAGCAGGACTGTCCCCTCTGAGGGAAGGTCACTCAGAGCCCTGGACCTGACCCTGCTCCCCACTGCACCCCACCTAGTCTTTGTAAATATGATTTATACCTAAGCAAATAAAGAGCCATTCCAGCCTTCTTCCCAAGTATCTGTTCCTGTCTGTTTATGTCCACAGAGAAGCCAGTGACACCACAGGGTGGGGTCACACACGCTGGGCTCCTGGCCAAGAGCTCAGGGTGGCGAATTCTATGTTCTCACCCATCCAGAGAATCCTTTCTTCCCAGGTGTCCAGATCTGTGGGCAGCAAAAGGAACGCTGACAGACAGGATGGGCCTAGGCTGCTCCTGGTCTCTGAGAAATCCCTGCCAATGGAGAGACACTGGCCCCCGGGGAACTCATCCCCAAAAGCTCTGCAAACCCAGAAGAGATCCCTCCCCAGATTCCGTCCAGCATTCTCTCACTCCCAGCTTCACCAGGGACTACCTCCCCTTTTCTTGGGACCAACAGAATATGAGCCTCCAAGTACCTCTTTGGGAGGGTCCCCAGGAGGGTGGCTGGAGCCTGGGCCCACCTGTAACATAGGCAAACAAGTTCTACTGAAACCTGAGTTCCAGCCCTGGGAGACCTCGAGAGCCCCCATCCTCCCAAAGACCAAGAAGATTCCGGCCTGATCAGTGACGCTGGGCCCCTGGCCTCTCCTCATTGTGTAATGGGGCTGTGTGCTCTCAGTTCCTAGCCAGGCTCTCCATTCCTCCCTCAGCTCCCTTCCAGCTGGGAAAGCGGCCTCCCTTTCCCTTTTCTCCTTTCTCCTGTGGCTGGGGCCCAGGGTACTTCAGCCCCTTTAACTTCTTGAGGCCAAGGAACAAGTGTCCCATGGCAGGTATCTGGAACCTCAGAATTCAGATATAAATCAGTCTCCTCTCCAAAAAGACTGCAGTCTGGCTCTCCGCTACCTCTCCCTCCCCAGAGCAGAGGTCCTCCTATTCTCCACTCCATCCCGAGGCTGGGAGAGAGAGGACTACCAGATGGGGCCAGGCCATGTGGGAAAGAAGGGAACAGATCCTGGGAGAGGGGCAAGGAGCTGGAAGTGGCTGGCTGCCCCACCACCTTTTCCATCCACCAGTGCCTGAGCAGACCACGGCACTTACCCATTATAAAGTCATTCAGATATTCGCTGTCCGCTCCTCCCGAGGCCAGTGAAGACAGGGGCTCCTCCCTACCTAGCCTTGTGCAGCAGGTGTGATCTTAAATCTCCAAACTCAGATGTGCAAGATTTATTGCACTTTAAAATGTTCTTTCAATCAAACTACTCCAAGCCAGGTGGGCTTGCTGGAGCTCTTGAAATCCCATCTGCCAAGGGCTGTGCAAAGCTCACAGAAACAGAAAGGCACAGGGGAGGCTTCCTCTGTGCCCCCAACACCATCCCATCACTGGACATCCGTCTCACCAGTGAATGCTGTGGTCCCTGTGTTCCCAGTAGGTATGACTCCCCCCGGACTCTCAAGCTCTCAGCCCTGTGGCACAATTGAGCCATGGGAGTTCAGCTGACAGCCTCTTGGCTTGGACCAGGCTTCCCCGGACACCCCCCAGAGCCAACTACTCAGGTCCTGCCACTTGCTTCATCACAGCCAGTGATTAGAGTCCTTTGCCTACACTGGCTGGATGTACACACCAACCCCCTCTCCAGTCTTAGGGAACTCTTTCCAAAACCCTCTCTCTTCCCAGTCCCTCCAAGGTATAATCTCTTCCCAGATTTGCTTTTGACTTTTACAAAGGCAGTAAAGGACTCTGATATCAGGGTGCCTCTACTCTCAGCCCTACTGAAACCCTTTTTGCTCTAAAGAGAAAAGGAATACATCAGTAAAAAGAGAAAGAAAAACATAGGCAGAACAAAACAAAACTTCATATTTCACTAAATTATCCTGCCATATTGCATACTTGGTATTTGCCTCAAGCCCTGCCCTGAGGAGGCATGCAATATGATATTTATTCCATCAGAGAAAGAGTCCCCACTCTCCTTGGCTGTCTTCATCTTTGACAATACTGTCCTTTTTTCTTTCTTTCTGTAAGGTGCATAATCCCCCAAAAATCAAATAATACCTAGTCATGGTTAAAAAAAAATCAAAAAGTACCAAAAGGCTTATTCTGAACAAGCATTTCCTGCAACTGTTAACTCTTAAGCTACTTTTTCTAGGAGTTAGTGCCATATGTCTAAATACTCTGTTCATACCTCTGCTTCTTGATTTACCTATTTTTAAAGTGATCAATTGACTTCCTATTATAAAAAGTGGAGATTTAGCTCCCTTACTAACCCTCTTTTCCTGTCACTTTACCCTCTAAATATAGCTATACCACTATATTTAGATAGTGATCAGACTTGACTTTATGATGACCAGGCAAATGCCGTTCACTCGTTCACTGCAGAGCAAAGTAGTGTGTTATGCTTACTTTCCCTTTGCCACTCAGATTTTTGTTTTTCTTAAAGATTCTAATTGTTTTCCCTTTTTTAAATACCTCTACCTTCTCATTATCATAGCTCCAATATTTTTCACACCTCATCATAGGATTAAAGAGCTAATGTTTAAAATATACGTGATAGAAGAAAATACAGGTCAGCGTGTTTATAATCTTGAGGTAGAAGATAAACCATAAAACACAAACCATAAGGGGCAAAGATCAACGCCATTAAATTCAAAGACAAGTAGGAGTTCAGGGGAACGATGGCAAATTAAACACATGCATTTATTTTCACTCCTGAGTCCTAACTAAAACTACAGTAAATGCTTCTGGTGTGCATGTTTGTAAAGGCATAAATTCACAAGGACCCAATGGGAGAGGAGATAAAACAACTTTCCAGAAAATTGCTGCTTAGATAAATAAATATTTCAGTAAAAATAAGTGCAAAGCATAAAATGAAATTATAAAGTTGGAGGATTTCCAATGCCTTGCTCATGCACACAGTAAAAATAAGTATTTTACTGAATACTAGTATGCCAGTATTCAACAGAAAGACAATTAATGGCTTTTACTAGGAATGCAAAAAGAAGAAGAAAATTCTAAATATCAATCATCCCCAAAATGTACAAAACCATAATCCCGCAAACACGAAAACTCATCATAATCCTTAGAATCCTGAATTTTCCTTTAACGTTGAAGTACTAAAGCATGTCACTGCTTTAAAACTGAGTCATTACTATCTTCTAACAATAAGTCATTCTCAGTGCAATCCAGAAAACTATTGATATGATTTTTTTAAAATTGATTTTAGCACTATCTTTTCCAGGAAATAACACCATGCACGCACAGGTGCACACACACACACACACTCTTATGAAATGGTGGGCCAGCTCCTTCTTGTCAGTGTTGCCTCAGAATCTGAAGCCTCCTGTTTCCCCTAGTTCATTCTTTCTTTATGAATCCTTTAAGGGCCTCTTTGAAACAAACGTAAAGGAGGGATGGGGCTAGTAAGATCTCCCAGGAATACAGCTAATAGAAATGTCTTAACAACTTCAGTCATACGATCTGGAAACTAATTCCAAACTAAGCAACCAGATTTCTTACCACTTCCCTCCCTTCATGATACCTGGACCACGCTTTGGCTAGCCACTGTTTCATTCTTTACTCATCAATCCAGCCTTTAGAGGGACATGATCACCAATACAGTTAGCATCTTGCTTGTGACACTTCTTTTAAAAATTAAACATGGGGTATTATGGGGCTACCAGCAAGCTCCACCAACACACTTGGTATCTTCTGTTTTGCTTTATGGTACAGGAAGGTCAGGGGAACTGGGTCTACATTTGCTATTTATGATACCTCAAAATTAATTTGTTTCCTAGCTTTAATCATTTACCTGTAAAAATGTCTTCAGCTTCAGCTGGCCTCTTCTGTGAAGTTCTTTTTCTTTCCCACGTCCAAGTGTTATTTCTCCTTGTATTTGGGAACAAAGTGATGCTGTTTTGTTAAAAAAAAAAATCATCAATGTTTCTGTCCTTTGGCATCAGTCTTGACTGATGAATTACCATTTTTATGGGTGCTCAAACTGCCAAGCCTTTTTCTAATGCCTATATTTGGAATTCTTCAGTTGGAGGCTATTCTACAATTCCCCTACAGAGACTGTTAGCTATGTCAAGAAGCTGAAAACTTAGTTTTCCTCCATTTCTCAGTTGGTGGCAGACAGAAACACGCAAGGGAAACTCTGCTGCCATGTTCTTTAAGACTTTTGCTCTACAGTCATGAATTCTGCTAATAATAAAATTCAATCCAACATTAGATGAATCACCGAACTCCACTTGCGGTCACCTGAGCAGCCGGCGCCAATTTGGGTTCAGAATACACCCAATGGATGCGAAGCTCCACTAGGCCTGATTGCCAGGCTCCGCCACCAGGAGGCAGCATCGTCGCGGCGGTCCTCGGTTCTCCAAAGGCAAACAAGTTTGTGGGTTGAATACTGCTGTTCTCATTTCCTTCATCTTTCTGGGGTCAGTTTTTCTTTTCTTTTTTTTTTTAATCTTTATTATTTGTCCTCAAATGTGTTTCATGCTAGCCCAGAGGTCTGTCATTTTCCTGCGTCCACTGATGAGCAGGCCAAACTCGCTTTCCGTCCTTATCCAGGTGAAAGCACTTCATCCTCAGACACCAAGCATCGCCCCGAGCACACAGGCTTTCAATAAACCTCCGTTAAAGAACCCATTTTCAGAGTTAGCACCGTAATTACGAAGTTTAACCCGAGTGCGGGTATTCATGCCGCGAAGGGAGTCCCAGAGGAAATGTGAATGTACTTTGGCCTTTAATATAAACATTATTTCATATCTTCCACATTGGGTAGGGCTTGGACTCAGGATAAGCTGGGAATATCTGGGGTTGGGGAGACAAATACTCACAAACACCGTCACAACCCGAGTACCCGCGGGTTCGAGGCCCGAGGGGCGGAAATCTGGCGGGACGGCCGCTGAGCTGGGCCCGGGTAACCGCCGCCCG